AAGATATATATCGTAACTCAGCTAAAGCTAAAGACATTTTTAAATGCTTTGTTAAGCTTCAAAAAGTATTTTGTGACTACATTATAGGCCTACATGAGGATGTTAAATTGCACATGACTTTGGAGTAGAGGCAGGTATTGATCTTGACCTCAGACTGAATGTTTCTAGTGGCTGTTCTGAGTTGAGCTTTGAGGTTCACAGTGTTCTCACGGCCTCTGTTGTTCTGAAAGGAGAGTTTCCTGGTCGTTCAGCCCTTTATGCTCTTCTGTGAGGAAGGCGGCCGCTCTTTGTCCCAGAGGGAGGTTGTGCGCTGTCTGTGGGGGAGGGTGTGTGACGTGACCAAGAGCTCCTCTGCGTCATACCGAGCGGTCCAATCACAGCTAGAAGAGATGAGCCTCAATTGCAGATGATCTACAGTTCAGAGAATGGTAGGTTAAACCTACACAAAACTGCTGGTTTTAAAATGTCCTGGTTTTAAAGGTTTACAGGTTTAGGTCAGCATGTTTTACAGTCACATTTGATACAAGTGAGCAGAATAAGTAATTTATCCACTTACCACCTATGAGAAACATAGCTGGGAGTCAGTGGTATATCTAGCCCTCGTCCGAGCTCTCTGTTCGTGCTTGCTTCGGCAGCACATATACTAAAATTGGAACGATACAGAGAAGATTAGCATGGCCCCTGCGCAAGGATGACACGCAAATTCGTGAAGCGTTCCTCATTTTTATTAATCGTTAATTATTAATTATGAATTTACAGTAATACCGTATTTCATATTTTACACTGTATCAAGTGAAAAAGCCTGCAGCGCGCAAATCCGCCGCTAGATGGCAGCATTGCACTGGCAGTCTCGCATTAGAGCGGCTCACAGCAGAATTTACACATTCAACTCGGATTTAAAGAAGTAATAGGGACGGAGACGGCTTTTTCCCAGCAAAAAAATGTTGTAAGTATTCGCAGTGATTGCATTTATCATCCTGATGTTTCTTTAGATTATTTAATCTACCCGTATTTAATCTGAGAGTTGTTAATGTGTTAGCATCGGTAATGGTAACTCTGAATCTTCGTTCCTTTCGAGTCAAACCAGCAGATTTCGACACGAATTCAATCCAAAATAATTATGTAAAATAAATACTAACGTGTAAAATAACTGAAATTGACTTACCTTACTTATGTGTAGTTTTCGCATAGCTTGGGTGCCAAATTTGCGTCGTTTTCTTTGGCTCGTGTTTTTCGTTTGTACCTGGAAACGCAGAGCGAAACAAGAATTAAAACACGTATTTTAATTTCCTACCACAAAAAAATGGTGTTACTAAATAAATGTTATCGTATACTGCTTCAGTGCTTCATAATTCAGAGGATCACCTGTGCTGTGCAGGACAAACGCTCCTCTTCATTCAGAGCTTAAGATCTACCTTCGAGTACGGTATGTGTGTGTCACCTATCAGATTTGAGTTTTGCAGTAACGTACACAACAACGAGTTGGCGCTACAACTGTATTGCAAAACTAAATAGGACTTAGATGTAAATACGACTGGATGTCATATTATTTGTTAACCATTTTATTAATCTAAACGTCATTTTACACATTTATGCCCAGTTGTCTGCATATTGAGTAATGTCTTTGAAAAGAAAACAAAAACATACAGGACCCAATATATAAAGTGTAAGTTTGATGTTTCTGAGACTTTATTTATTTCAAATTTCCAGTGTTTTCACAGGTTTTTTGCTCTTGGATCGATTGCAATATTTATAGACAATTATTTCTAATTTTAGTATATGATTTTATTAAAAAGCAAAATAATAACCATCAATCTCATGTTTGTGTTGCGAATTCAGGAGAGTCAATGGTATGTTTGGGCCAAAAATTTACACCAAAGCAGCTCAAATCAAATTGTTCAGACCCTACAAAAAGGAAAATAAGAAGGACAACGGGGAAGGAGAGAGAATGCGCTTCTATGCATATCAAACACTGAAAGACCAATAGAACATTCTTGACATTATCTTAATTCTAAGATCTTTAAAGAATGCAGTCAAGGTTTTCAAAGTATATCACCGCCTGAGACTAGATTAGCAAAATCTCAGTTTTATTTGTTATTAACATTACATTTACATTTTAGACATTTAGCAGAAAGCGACTTTTATCCAAAGCGACTTACAAATGAGGACAATGGAAGCAATCAAAATCAACAAAAGAGTAATGATATGCAAGTGCTATAACAAGTCTCAGTTAGCTTAATGCAGTACACGTAGCAAGTTTTTAAAAATCAAATAATAAATAAAAAGAAAACAGATAGAATAGAAAAAGAATAGAGCAAGCTAGTGTTAAAGGCCTTTTTTTTGCTTTTGTTAATTGAATAATAAATAAAAAGAAAACAAATAGATAGAATACAAAAAGATTAGAGAAGCATGTCGAAAATTCGATGCTTCGATAGGAGGACCCTGATTCGACTCCCAATCTCAAAGTCGAATATTCGGACTAGCCACTGCATTTTGGACTACCTGTAGCTTGTTTACTGAAGATGCAGGATGTTCAATTGTTCACCACAAGACTAGTAATGTGCACTAAAAAGTAAGTAGGGTCATTTTTGATTTCATGATGACTAATCATTTTCAATACCACTGGCAAAACTAACACATACTGCCATATAGATATTTTAATGTTTAAAAAAAAATTTGTACATCCATTTTTTCAAGGCAATCATTATTTCACTATCTACTGAAGTTATCAGTTATCGGCTACTGAAGTGCCGTCAGAGGTTTGAATATCAATTCAAATTGTGGGCGTACTCAGTAACGAACTATGATTTAAAAGTAACGAAGGGGAAATATGATTTTCGAAAGACAAGTTGCTATCTAATATAACACCCAGATTTTTGACTGTAGAGGAAGTAACTGTACATCCGTCTAGTTGCAAATTGTAATCCAAGAGATTCTGTGTACTGTTTTTTGGTCCAATAAGTAATATCTCTGTCTTATCCGAGTTTAATAGGAGAAAATTATTGGTCATCCAATCTTTTACATTTTTAATACACTCTGTTAGCTTAGATAATTTAGAAGTTTCATCTGGTCTTGTTGAGATATATAGTTGAGTATCATCAGCATAATAGTGGAAACTAATCCTGTATTTTCTAATAATATTACCAAGGGGCAACTTGTATATTGAAAATAGCAGAGGACCTAGGACAGATCCTTGTGGCACTTCACTGGAATTAATTGAGATGACTCCCCGTTTAAAAAAACAAAGTGGTAGCGATCGGACAGGTAGGATCTAAACCATCTTAAAGCCTTCCCTTGAATACCTGTATAGTTTTGTAATCGATCTATGAGTATGTCATGATCTATTTTGCCGAACGCAGCACTAAGATCAAGTAAAACTAGCAATGAGATTTTGTGGTGTCTCAATGATGCATGCAAAGTTGATTATTTATTTTTATATGATGTCTTTTTTTTTCTTTTTTCAATTCTTCTTTTAGGTCACATTACTGGTTCTGCAGCTGGTACAGATACTCCAAATATGGAAAACAGCCTTGCTTGCTTATGTACTGTACATGTGCACTACATTTAGGCTTTATCAGCAGGAAGGACTGGTGCAGTAGAACAAAGCCTTTGCAGATGTCACATGCAGACCTGCAAAGCCACAGGTTTCTAGGCAGCAAACTCTAAGGATTACACTACTGCGGCAAAGTGCATGGATAATGTATTTCTCTCTCTCTCTCTGAGTTGGTAACAAGTTGCTATATAAGGACTACTTGGATTCTTTTTGCAATAGACCAATTTGCAGTAGACGTCACTTGTACTTGCATTGTGGTGGCAGAAAAACACTGGTATCAAGTGGAGGGAAACAGGTAAAAATCCATGGAATAAGAAAAAAAAATTTATTGTAGTGCCTTTAGATGTCAGAATCGGAATGCAAATAAATTTTTATAGAATACTGTCATCAAAAGAATCCATTTGAAGCTAAACGCAGACTTTTAGACAGACAGACTATGGATGAAACCTGCTATGATTACCCTCCTTTTAAAGCATAAATTAGATTTATATTAATATATAATATATCATTTAACAATAGGTCTACATAATATTCACATATGCAGTTCATAGGGGACATAATGTAGTAGCCCTACAGTTACAGCATAGCCTATTATTTAAACCTAAAACATTTGATATAATATTTACCTATTTTATCTCACAATTCTGACTTTTTTTCTTGCAAATGCTAAATTATATCTCCTAGTTCAGACTTTATAACTTGATTTAACTCAACAATTGCGAGTTTGTCAATTCTGAGGGAGAAAAAGACAAAAGTGTGGCATTTAAAAATAAACTCATGATTCTGAGTCGAGGGGGAAAAAAGAGAATGATGAGTTGATTTTTTTAATCATAATTGTGAGATATAATTTCGGAATTGCAAAAAAAATAAAAAGTCAGAATTTTGAAATATAAACTCGAAATAACTTTTTTATTCTTTTATTCCATGGTTTCCATCGACTGCTACTTTAAAACTGTCATTTTCTGCCACCCGATAGGCACCGCCCATAAAAAAACGTCATCACTTTTTGCAAACACAGAAATTGGTCTATTTAGTTACCCACTTCTTAGCACAGCAGCTACAAAAATCATGTTTGAGGCATGATTGTATTTTATCTGTTATAAAATACACCTTGAAAGTCTTTCCAAGTAATGTCAACCATTATTTTACTGGTAAATAAATGTTTAGGCCTGCATGTATTGTATGGTTTGGTGCATCAAGTACATTTTTTTAATTAGAATGCGTTTTGAATTTTACGTTTGGGATGAAAGTGACTTAATTTTTGCATGTCTTTTTGCATGACTCCATGTTTTGATGTGTGTACTGTAGAGTCATATGGTGTTTAGTCCTCCACAGTAGAGGGCGGTAAGTCGATACTCCTCGGTAAACTTTGTCAGAAATGCATCACTAAGTAATATACATATTGCTCCTACTGTGGCTAGGTCAGCAATTCCTCCTTGGCATGCATCACTTCCGTCGACCTACATTGGAACCAATGGCATCGCAGCAGAACAGGCGGTCCAGAGGCAGGTTTAAATGCGCCGCCAGCCTGCGCGCAGGACAAGAGAAGCCTTGCTGCATCTGAAAGTTTGCAGAAGTGAATACTTCTAATAACAGTGCAAAGTCAGGATGTCAAGCGAACGGTAATAGTCTCTTTTTATTTACTAAACCTCAAGTATTGTTTGTTTACATTGCGCGTGTTTTCCTAAAATTAATTGATGTGAGTGTTTTTCTGTATAAGTCAGGCTACTAACGTTGCCTTTGGATTCTCCCTCCACTTTGGTGCATTTTGTAAGTTCTATAACTTGTTGATGTATTATAAAAAACACTGAGGACAATAATAAACTTACTTGTTAAAACATGAGTTTAGATCGGTTGTGCATAGACCTGCAGGACGCTTTTTTTAAAATGCATTTAGTCGAATGTGCTGTTGGCGCGCGCCATAGTTCGTGTTTGTGACGCGCGAGAACGATTTTTTTCACTAATCATGTATTTATTTAAGCAAATCTAAATTTTGCAAGTTCCGTAAATCTTTTTAATGGTGTCATTAGTTAATATATAGTTTAGTTTTTCGGAAACATAAGTTAGTATGGAGGCTATTTTTGGTGTAGAGGTAGCTCGCGACAAATGGCGGGCATCACAGAACTTATGAAGTGAGCTTGCAGTTTACAGTATAGAAACAATCAAAAACGGTTGTTGTCAATGTGTTATTAGATATTGCATATCGTGTAGTAAGAAGTTATGCTTTTTTAAAGATTGTTTTAGGTTGAACTTATTTAATGAGGACTGTTTAACCTTAGGTTTGGGAGATCGCGGTTATTGTTTCATATTGCTTTCTGCTGTTATACCTTTGTATATCCTTATAACAACACGCAATGGTGGTGTTGCTCTTGCTTAACGTTTTTCTTGTTTTTATGTAGACCGTTTAAAGAACTGAGTGAGAATTTGGAGGGATCCCTGTGCAGGCCTCAGAGGAGTAAATGGAAAAAGCGGCCCTCCTGCAGTGGGGGTCTAGACACCGAGAACACTCCGAACGAGCTCATCCAGCAGTGGTCACCCCCACACAAAAAGATCCTGACTTCTGCAAAAGGGAAAGAAAATGAAGAAAACGCATTTGTTCTTGCCAGACGTCCCAGGAAAAGAAGAGAATCGTCAGGTTTGTGGCTTGAGAAACTGAACCCCGTAAAGCCTTCTGTATTATGTTTGATGCATGCATTTCTATCATGATCTCAGTTTTGCTGAAAAACCTGTTGTACATAATCTACTACATGCCTTCTACCCTCCGATTATTGGTTCATACTTTTTTTTTTGCAAGAAAAATTGTGTTTTTGTGTAATTGTAAAAATGTCCACCTTCAGGTTTTGTCTTATTGCTGTACAATTTGAAAATAATTATTTATCTATAATTTAATTATTTATTTTAAGTAAACACAACTCTTATTATTATTATTATTTCAAAAAGATGTCAACATTTAATAGTCTGAAGCAACTTTGGTTTACTTATCCATACATAATTTTTCAGAAATATAATTTTAATATGCAAATATGATACACCAGGCTTTTGAGAACAGTTTATTTCTACATCTCTCAATTATCATTGCATTGTATTGCATTATTTGTTTTGCCCCCACAATAAAAACTACAGAGCTTTGATCATAAAACTAAGCTTCAAAATGTCATATTATTGGAAGATAGAAATATCATTTGTTACTATATATGTATTTTATGCAAGTAGTCTTTTATAAAAAAGAATTTTACATAACATACTTTTTGGCAACATAACATCTGCACCAAATTGCATAATTTTGTTTTGATTTATTTTGGGCCTCTGAATATAATTCAAATGTGAGATCCATTTTCTAACTATATTAAACTGTATGAGCCATAAAAGCCTGATGCATCAAATATGATACAAAACAAAAATCTACATTTTTAAAACAGATTTTTTTTTTTTTATCTAAAGTTTCTGTGAAGCTTATTAAAGTAATAGATTTTTCTGCTTATTTCATAGGTAAAGCTTTACAGATTTAATGCAGTACTGTATATCTGATTGGAAATATATATTTTGTGTGTGTAAAAGCTATAAAGGGAACATGGAACATAGATGCATGAACAAGCAACTTAGCAATACCTTGTAAACTTCCACTTTGGTGGCCACTTACTGTTTCTCCAGATAATTTAGTTGACATTTATTGGTTAATAGTTGGAATTATAATTGCTTATAAGAGATAACATGGCCTTGTATGGGCAGTAGAGAGTCTGATTTGTTAACTTGTTTGTCCCTCAGCAGGCTTGTGTTTGGACAGTCTGCCTGATGAGCTATTGCTGGGAATCCTGTCTCGTCTCTCACTGCAAGATCTCCTCCGGACATCACGGGTCTGCAAGCACTGGCATTGTTTAGCGTAAGTTATTCATAGACTTTTCTTACAAAGTTGGAAGTTTGGAAGACCACTGATCACCTGTGATGCAAATAATAATAGTCAAAATTGTGCATCTGTAGGTTTGATGAATCTCTGTGGCACAGTGTGGACCTGGTGGGAAAGGCTCAGTTAGATGCTGAGCTTGGGCAGGTTCTCTCAGCTGGAGCCTTGAGGCTGCGCTGTCCACACACCTGCATCGTTCAATCCAGCTTTAAAAGTGCCCAGTGAGTAATGCGTGTTTTCACAGTGCCACGATAAAGTTATGTTGTGTAAGTGCTGCTGTTGTTGGCGTCTTACATTTGTAAATTTAGTGCATTTTGAATTACAGGAAACTTCGTGTCCAACATCTGGATTTATCAAACTGCACAGTGGAGACGTCTGTTCTCGAAGACATCCTGTCACGCTGCAAACATCTACAGAATCTCAGTCTCGAAGGACTGGTGCTCTCTGATAGCATAATTCAGTAAGTGATAGTCTAAAAGACATTTTACACTCTACAGCGTGTAACTGTATTTTTTTTTTGTTGTTAGCTGCACATATTTACCAATCAAAAGGGGTTTTAATCACAACAAATCAAATGGCATTTAGTGTTTGTGTTAAAAGACATGGAGAAAACTAGTGGTCGACCGATATTGTTTTTTTGACAGCCGATGCCGATATCTTGGATAGCAGGGTGGCCGATGGCCGATATAGCCTAAAGCCAATATAATTTTATTTATTTTAATTAATATTTAAGAAATTTGAAATCATTTGAAAATGAATTAAAGGGGTCATATGATGCGATTTCAAGTTTTCCTTTCTCTTTGGAGTGTTACAAGCTCTTGGTGCATAAAGAAGATCTGTAAAGTTGCAAATTGTAATTGTGTTAAAAAAGTACAGAGATTCTTTACAATTGACCTTTTTAAAGGTGTGACCCAATACTTTTGGCAATATAGTGTACAAGCCAACCTAGCTATTCAAAATCGTTGTCTGCAATTTAATAATATTGACCTATTAGCCTACTTTTGCTATTGCTTTTGACCATTAGGTATCAGTAACATAATTCATTCAGAACCTGTTCTATGGACATAGACTTTCTGTACCACACTATTCTGCTGATATGGAATGAGTTTGACTACTTAATCAGTTATATTAATAGAAATGCTTCACTGGGGCAAACAAAAAAACCTTAAAATAATAAATAGAATACCCCATAGCAGCATTTCCAGCAGTTTCTCAATCATGATCTTACTCCGCTAAATGTGACTAGCTTAACAGCTGTATTCCTTGTTTGCTAGCTACCTATGCACATACAGCATACAATGTTAAAAATATTCTACATTATGAACCTTAACCCAAAAACCTTTAGCTTCATACACTGTAGATAATTGTGAGCCTTTTTTAAACAGTGGATGAGTAATTCACTCCTTGATTTGCTTAATAAAAGCCTCCTTTGAGATCATTTTGACAGACATGTTTATTGCGTATTATTTTCAACGTGTTTATTGCTAAATTTAGTGTGGCAAAATAGAAGCGCAGCCGTAATTCGCCTGTAGTGTATCTGGTTGCCATGATAACCTCACGCGCTTCCTGCTGCTGCTCTATGTAATCAGAGTGTGAATTTGTAGATTTTCGGCCCTTAGAATAATCCTAACTTTCCCCCCCTTAGCGGCGCCCCTGCGTAAAGCCGCCTCGCGAGTGTCATATTGAGTTATTTTTCGAAGTTTGTTGAGTTTAAGCAACCAAATACACACAAAATGATGTCAAAATGGCCGTCCTGGTGAGTATCCTCGTAAGCAGTCGGTTTTGTCTTAAGTAAATGTAAATAGTTGAGAAAGAAAACGCATATGTATCCGTGCATTCGGTCTTGTGACAGCAGCCTAAGGGGCCGTTCACATGTCGCGTTTTTTGCACGCTCAAGTTCGTTATTTCAAATGTAGATGTATGGCTAGCGTGCTCATAATAGAAAATTGTTCATGGAATATATCATATGCATGCTATAGGTCAGCACGAACGATTTCGGAGGTGCCGGTGTTGTGCCGAATTCTGCAACCTGCCAGATTATGCATCCCCTAGTATTGGTAGGTTTAGGAGTAGGTGTGGGGGAGGGGTTAGGATTAGGCAATCAGGTAGCGACTTTAGGGGTGGGGTCGGGATCAGGCAATCAGGTAGCGACTTCAAAGAGGGGGTGCATAATCTTTATCTTTGTATAAAAAAATTATACAATCCAATTTAGATTAAAAACTGCTCATGTTGCATGTATGCAGCATCTTTGTTTGGATCATGATTAATTTTAATCTCTAATTTTAAATGGAAAGAGCACAGACAAAGCCTTAGTTTGTTTATATGAAGAGATTTATTTTATTTGTGTTACTTATTTATTTGATTTGGGGCTTGTTTTAAAATTTCAATTTAGTTTTGTTATTTACATTTACATTATATTTAAATTTTGTTATTTGGCATACACTTTTATCCAAAGCAACTTACAAATGAGGACAATAGAAGCAATCAAAACCAACAAAAGAGCAATAATATGCAAGTGCTTTATTAGTATATTATTATAGTGTTATATTTTAATTTCACAAAGAAATGTGCAGCATTTTGTCCAAGCAATAATAAAAGAACACATTTAATTTATAATTTGTCTTAAATCTCATTTTGTAAAAAAATAATAATAAAAAAAAATCGTGAATCGAATCGAATCGTGAAATCAAAATCGTGAGTCGAATCGAATCGTGAGTTGAGTGAATCGTTACATCCCTAGGCCTAGTGAAGCTGAACTCTCCTCCTGTCCGTATTCAATTCTCACGGATCGACCGTGACGCAGAGAACACGCGATCATGCAGGATACACATGCACACTTCATAAGATCTCACAGCTGGATTCGTTTTTTGAAATGAAATGTTCATTAGTCATTCAAAGATTTGTTTAAATGATATAAATGCGTATTTGCTGAATGCTGACGGAAAACGAGAAAGTATAATATTTGCCTTTCTATTACTAATAATATAAAAGCAATCGTTATAATACTTTTTTTTGTATACATTTTAATTTATTTGTTTAACAGTTCTTTCTGATTATTAGACGGACTTCTGTCCGTATTAGATGGAACTGTTAACGACGACAGCGAACAGGGAGAATGTGAACACTGTGTGCGCTGCCGCTCTCAGCGCTGTCAAAATAGAAGTCCCGCCTCAAACGCGTTGGCCAAACAGAAAAACTTATCGGCCGACCACTAGAGAAAACTATTCTTGCTGTTGCCAGTTTTCCTGGGCTCTGTCAATCTAACAAGTAGATCTCACACATGGTCTGCCAAACAGTCAAATTTATTTCTATTTATGCATTTTATGGAGAAATAATTGCAGTTATCTTTGTAGTGTTATTAGCCACTGGTGACATTTAGAATCATTGACATGTAAAACTGCAGATTTAACTGCATATATTTTTTTTTGCAAATTTAAATATGAACATATGAAGACCTTGAACCTATATTTTGCTGTCTTGCAGTTCTCTGGCTCAAAATACTGAAATTGTCCGACTGAATTTGTGTGGCTGTTCAGGCTTTTCCCCTGAATCGCTGGCTGAGATGCTGAAATCCTGCACTCGGTAAGGTTAACTTGTATACCAAAAAATCAAAAATGTGTGGTCCTGAGGAAAATGTTTCACTGTTTCCACAGAAATATTAAGCAGCATGACTGTTTGGAACCTTGATGATAAGCAATGTTTCTTGAGCACCAAATCAACATATTAGAATGATTTCTGAAGGATCATGTGGTGCTGAAGGCTACTGTAATGGTTGCTGAAAATTCAGCTTTGCAATCATAAAAATAAATTTCATTTTAAAATATGATTAAAATATTTTTAAACTCAGTTCTTTTTAATTATAATAATATTTTACAATTTTACTGCATTTGATCAAATAAGTGCAGCCTTGATGGGTATTCGAGACTTTCAAAAGCACAAAATCTTACCAACTTTTAAATGTTAGTGTACATCCGAAGACAAATAATTTCTTAATTATTATGCTTGATGAGCATGGATTCATCATCAGAAATGTCAGAATGAGTTGTTTTTGCAGTCATTATGTGCCTTTAAATACTGTGTAGTCACATTTCAAATTAAGCATTTGATGCAGTTCACTTATTGTGTATGTTTTTACACTACTTTTATTTTAAAATATCTGCATGCAGTTACATGTACTTAATTTCTGTAAATACATCCCACCTCAATAGCAGCAAAAGTGTTTTACAATACAACATGAACACAAGTACATTGTACTGAAATTTGTACTGATTTGACATGAGTACATGGTAGTCAAAGACACATGGGGCAGTCATGGCCTAAAGGTTAGAGAGTGACTTGTAACCCAAAGGTTGTGGGTTCGAGTCTCAGGTCCGGCAGGAATTGTCGGTGGGGGGAGTGAATAACCAGCGCTCTCTTCCACCCTCAATTCCACGACTGAGGTGAGACCCTTGAGACAGGCACCGAACCCCCAACTGCTCCACGGGCGCCGCAGCAATATAGCTGCCCACTGCTCCGGGTGTGTGTTCACGTGTGTGTGTTCACTACTGTGTATGTGTGCTTAGATAGGTTAAATGCAGAGCACAAATTCTGAGTATGGGTCGCCATACATTCACATAATAAAAAGTGAGACGTATCTTTTCAAAGTACATCAAGCATATTACCTCTAAAGTTCAAAGAAAATTATATAAAAAATATGGCCCCTTTTAAAACCCATCATTTTCTTTCTCTCCCCAGAATTGAAGAAATGAATGTGTCATGGTGTGACTTCAATAATCTCCATGTTCAAGCCATTGCTAACAACACTCCCTCCAGCATCTCTCATCTGAACATCAGTGGTTACAGACAAAACCTCACCATGGAAGGTAAGGAAAGCAAGGAGTTCAGCGTTATGTAAATGCATTTGTAACCATTTCATGCAACAACAATTTATGCTTTTTTTGTGTGTGTGTTTCAGACGTTAAAGCTGTAGTAAAACGATGTCTGAACCTTACAAATCTAGATTTGAGGTGCGTTCATAATTTGGAAAGATGATCTTGGATCAGATGCCTAATAGCAAACAGCTGGAGGTTCACATTCGGTTATGTGCTTTATCATTACAGTGATAGCGTGCTTGTGACAACAGACAGTTTCCCAGTCCTGCAGCAACTTTCCTCCTTGAGACATCTGGCACTGAGCCGCTGTTATCAGATCCACCCAGCTGCACTCATGTAAGAGATTTGTTGAATTCAGAAAGAAAAGACGAGCATTTTTTTTGTTCGAGTACAGTCTCTGCTTACAAACACTAAATATTCCTTCTCTTTTTCTTTACAGTGACTTTGAAAAGTTTCTAAATTTGCAGACCCTGGAGGTCTTCGGGCTCATACAGGACAGCTACCTGCCCATTCTTTGTAAAGGTCTACCGCACATACAGATCAACACACAGCCTTTCTCCACTGTGGCACGTCCCACCTCGGCATCAAGAAAGGATCGCACACTTTGGGGAATGCACTGTCGACTTGTGTACAAACACTGATGTTTTTAATCCAGGATGATTACAGGGTAAACCAAGTTGTAAAATAGCTTTTATAATAGTCCATATCTCTCTTAATTGTGCCCTATTAGAATTATTTGTGATTTTAAAAAATGTCTTTAACATCACTGGTAAGTCCTCGTTTTATATTGTTACAGTTTTAATTTTAGTGAAGATGACAATTGTGTTGGAGGTCCTGACAATCTTGAATTGAGTGGCGTTCTTATGTTGCAGCAAAGATCATATGGTTTATCACAAAATAAAAGATGAAGAGTGACTTAGTGTTTTGGTACCAATAGCTATAATTTTGAAAATGAGTTTCACTAGATGTTTATTGCTTCAGGTGAAATCTAGAATATAATGGTAGGTTCTGTTTGTCACTCAAGATCTGTTTTCCTGCCATGATCAAGTACATTTCCAGTTTTACTCTAGGATTATCTAGTTTAGACAATGGTTTTATGGTAATCTTAAAATGTTTCCAAATAGTTTTACTATATAGAAGTATTAAAACGGGTGCTTTCAGAGCAGAGAAAATATTGTGAATCTCTTCCGTTTTTCGGATCAGTTTTAATGTTGGTAAACTTGAATTTTGTACAACTTTGGCTGTTGCTAGACGTATTTTTATTAATTGTTTACACTGTCTGAATTGTAAATAAACGTATTGCTTTTTATTTAAAGCCATCCCCTTGTAAGTTTTTCTATTTCCATGTTCTTTACATTGCTACTCCAAACAAATTTCAATGTTACAAAATAAAGAACTCTGATATTTTAAAGCACCAAGGGTCCTGAAAATGTGGTTTAACAAATTTCTGCCGTGTTTTAAGCCAGTGACCTGAGAGTTTCACACCACATCCAAACTTTTGCCCTATTGTGTACTTCAAAAACATTCAAATATAAAGTATTTTTCAGGTTGCCGTTACAGAAATATTTTATTTCTACATTTACAAAATACTTCTGTGCATGTTTGGCACAACAGTATTTAAAAAAAGTTAATTAACTTTAAGTACATGCGCTTAAACATCTGCATCCATCACATTTCTAAAACAGACGGCTGATGTAGTGATGTGACAATATAATGCTGGTGTTTATTTCTGAAGGCTGCAACCCAGAGGTTCATTTAAGCACAGACTACAGAAATGTGAAATCCTGATATATATATACCAGTACAACCTATAACTATAAATGTTCATTTCATCTGCAAACCCCTTCCTCCCTTAAAACTTGCTGTTCCATCTCAAAGTCTGGCTTAAAAGACAATTATTCAGTCCTCAATAACTTTAAGAGTACATGCGCTTAAACATCTGCATCCATCACATTTCTAAAACAGACGGCTGATGTAGTGATGTGACAATATAATGCTGGTGTTTATTTCTGAAGGCTGCAACCCAGAGGTTCATTTAAGCACAGACTACAGAAATGTGAAATCCTGATATATATATACCAGTACAACCTATAACTATAAATGTTCATTTCATCTGCAAACCCCTTCCTCCCTTAAAACTTGCTGTTCCATCTCAAAGTCTGGCTTAAAAGACAATTATTCAGTCCTCAATAAATAAAGAGTGATGTATCAAAAGGATTTAATCAAGAATGACAGTTCGCAACAGGTCCTCCTCATTTAAGCTGATTGTAGCAATGGCACCATCATTAAACTCGAAGGATGTCCCACCATCCACCACCATGCAGGCATCCCAGCACCTTGAGCGGACACAAACCCTACCGAAAACAAGAATATGAGCACAAGCACTGCATGTTTTCATTTTTTTTAAATGTTTTGCAGTCTTGTTTAGTCAAAAACATGGAGAAACAGTTAATGCATTAGGTATTATGAACGAACAATATAAACAAATATTTGACAGCATTTATGATTCAAAACGTTCAAGTTTGTTCACAGAACATTCATATTAATTTATACAATTTGAAATGTTAAAAATGTTTTTGTAAACCAAGATTAATATGACATTATTAATACTTATTCAATCATTTACCAAACAGTTGTGAGAAGATAGAACTCACTTTTTGGCAAAACCTCTTTGTCTGCTATTGGAAAATACTCTGTTGACTATCGGCTCCCTTATACTGAAGAAAAGTTTGTCCTCCTCTGGGCCAAAGATCAGCGACTCATTGTATGTTTCAGTCACTGAACACAAAAAGAGACACCAATTATTTAATGTGCAGAATGTTAATTTTATACATTTAAACCATTACAACAATGATGAAAAGTCATTTTAAAATACAAATTATATATTTCAGTCACTGAACACAAAATAGGAGCCATTTATTTAAATTGCAGATTATTAATTTTACAAATTAAATTTTTTTTTTAAATGTCATTTTAAAATACAAATGATATATTTCAGTCACGGAGCATAAAAATAAGCAGTTATTAAAATCGCAGAATATTAATTTTAATTGTATACATTTAAACAGGATTTTAAAAAAGTTAATTTGACACTATTGTTTATACTTGTACAAACAAAAACAAAAAAGTACTTTGAACTCACCACTCTCAATGAACTCCTGATTTAGAGGAACATCCAAACCCGTTTTTAATTTACCTAAGATACAGAAAAGATAAAGATCATGCTTGTAGCGGCAGACGATTATAAACTGTTCAGTCATAGATCATATGTAATGGAGAATATGTTTAACTTAGTTAAATATATTGAGTTTCTAACCTATTCTAAGGACATCCTCCACTGCCTGCTCCACGAGTTTATTAATATTGTAGGACCTGGATGAAGGAACAAAAATTATTTGGTAACTCTTACATCTCTTGACATTTTACGAAATGTTGTAAGATCACTTCAGTAAAGCACCGCTCTGACTCACCAGGCTTTCGATCCAGTTCCAGTGCAAATGCTAAGCCCTGAGCTCTTCTGCTTCTCCCACGGCCCGTCATCGATGGAGATTTCGTAGTATGAAGCCCTATGAAGTGAGAGGTTAAGATGGGGTTTGAAGGATTTATACTTCAACCTGTGGCAAACAGAAATCCACAAGTAAGGGGAGATGGGGGACGCATGGAGGGAAGGAGGAAAAGTGCTTGATGAAAAGCAGTGTTCATGGGTGGCGACTGGTTCTTTATATACAGAATGATGGGCAGGGATAAATACCTGGACGACAGGGACTCCCCAATGAAGATCTCATTGAGCCCTCGGACAGGGAGTAGGTGAGGCCTTTCAGGACTGTCGTGTGTCCTACCTGTCACAGAAATATGATAGCGTTGTTATCTTTGTGCCTCCTGGAACGATTTTTTCTATACAACACAAAGATGACACAAATGTGTTCAGAGCAAAATCTTCTTACAAAGTAATAAAATCAGGGTGGAGTGTTATTACCGCATACACACACCTTTTCCTTAACTGAAATAAAAATACAAAACTGGGGAAATAACTCTAGAATGAAGTAAAAAACAAACCAAAAAAAATTTAATACATGCTATATTATAAAACTATTATGAAACAAGTCACCTGCATTAAACAAGAAAATGCCAGTAGACAAAATAATAAAAATCTAACTCTGAAGAAAACTAAAACTAATGAAATTAAGACATTGAATTAAACAGAAAATAAAACAGAAATGATAATGATTTTTTAAATAAAAAAATTAAGCCAATTTTTCAGTCTGTTAATTTAATATTTCATTATATTTGTACAAAATATAACCACATGTGCACAAAAAAATCAAATTATTTCATTGAATAATTACTGAATACAGTAATGAAAATCAGCACAGCATATTTAATTATTTTTTATATTTAATTTAATATTTAATTTATAATATTTTATAATTAATGTAATTATATATAATATATATTCATTTATTTTTATTTCCTTTTCAAAATGTCTCGTTATTGCACTGCAAAAAATAGCTCATTCTCATTACTGTAATACAGTAATAAAATAATCCTTTCCTTTTTGATTTTGCTGTGAAATAGAACCTGGAAATTTCTTGACAGTATTTTGCAAAAATTAGAAGTGCGGCATAGAGGAAAGTTCTTTTGAGATAGCAAAGTGTACAACATGATTCGTACTGCTCTGAGTTTCTGTGGTGATGCGGTGCGCCTTGCTGTGCTGCTCGAGGCTCAGCTGCAGCTCATGCAGGTCCACTGGAGTCGGGTTGATCCCGGTGCCCTCCAAGTACATACGGATACGCTGACGCCACTGCCACCTAACGGAGACATTTACTTTTTAAAAAACAGAAAGAAAAAATAGAGAGGGGGTACATCATAGAAACAAAAAAAAGCAGGTAGAATGATGATAAGAATAAAAAAAGGGCACCCCAAAAAAACAGGCGGGGTTTAGCAGCTCTAAAGTGGCATCATATCGGTCAGGTTCAATCTTGCTAAATAGCAGCACTTAAACGGTCAAATGTTGCCTGTTACTTTTCTCCACAATGGTAAGGCTGGATCAATTACAGTCATTTATGATTAAAGGATAAACATTTAATCATTTTATAGAATTGGTTAGGGTGGATTTTTATGTCAGGTGCTAATCATCAGAACTGATATAACTTATAATTCTTAGTGGACACATTTTTTAGTTGACATGCAAACAAAAAAACCTCCCTAGCTTTGAATACGGCTTAATGGAAGATTTGGCTTTCTAAGCTACAGGCTTTCCCCGAGAAGAAGACCAATCCTTGTCCCATAAGAAGCAGTTATTAGCTAGTAACATTAGCTTTCCTGTGGGGTACATAGTCTATATCATACTTCTTTTTATTAAGAATTGCTCACTTGTACAAAAACTTTTTGAACTAGAAGTACTTTTGCTGAGTACTTCTGCAAGAGGTGTGGAAGAAAACAGCTGAGTGCAAATTGGATTACTGTCGAGCGTAAGCAACAGTAAACAAGAGGTACCCACCTGAACTCACCCTTCCTGAGTTTCTGTAAGGCCTCAGAAAAGGCATGTGTATAGTGCACAGGTAAACACAGGTGACCTTCTGACCTTTATATACAAAAACACAGCTACATTATATATTTATAAAACAAATAAGAAACAAACTTATGATAGGATATTTTTTTATTACCTTTCTGGGTCTGTATTGACCCCCAATACAGGTTTGTTCTTATCATACACTTTACTGGCAACTAGTAGCATGGTGCCATCACCTAAAAAATAAACAAGTCTATTAGAATTTACCGAAAGAGAAAATAAGTTCATGAAATTTCTCATGTGTCAACTGGTGCACAGTTAAAACTATCAAGCATAAAAAGGCAAAACCTGAGCTTTACCTCCAGCAGAGATGATGGCATCGGCCCATCGTACTGTGTCCTCATCATACTCGCCTCTTTTGACAATGCGCACCTCAATCCCTTTTTTCCTACAAAAATAAAAGGACCGTTTTGAAAATTGTTTAAAAATGACTTCAAATACTGTCAGAGTTTCCATTTCTGATCATCATCTTACTGTAGGCTGTCCACAATCTGTCCAACATTGAAGGTGTGTAAATTGTGTCTCTCCAGAAGCCCAATGTAACTGGATCCTTTCAGTGCAAGCTGTGAAGACAGATTGATTAAATATCATAAACAATGGATTGCTTCTTAACACTGTTTTTTCACATTGTGTATAATGGGGTTAGTTGGTCTTGGACTTTTGCTGCAGGCATTGTTGGTGGGCTTTTAAATACTTAAGCCCAATTTGCTTGCTGCTGAATTGAACTGACAATAGTACCAGCAACAAAAAAAAGGAAGATAAAATATCTGACTCCTTTTATTAAGAAATATACATTTTCCTATAAAACACTGTCAGTTGAATACTGAAAACAGTAGTGAAGTCAACAGTATTAGATAAAATGATAGTTTACAAAGTTAACCCTTCAATACATCCGGATATATAAAGATATAATTTTTTATGAAGATATTTATGTGTTTATCTAATATCCAAATATAAATATCTTAAGTAAATCCAAATATAGATAGAGGGAGGAGTGAAGCAAGAGAGCGGCATAGAGGAAAGTTCTTTTGAGATAGCAAAGTGTACAACATGATTCGTACTGCTCTGAGTTTCTGTGGTGATGCGGTGCGCCTTGCTGTGCTGCTCGAGGCTCAGCTGCAGCTCATGCAGGTCCACTGGAGTCGGGTTGATCCCGGTGCCCTCCAAGTACATACGGATACGCTGACGCCACTGCCACCTAACGGAGACATTTACTTTTTAAAAAACAGAAAGAAAAAATAGAGAGGGGGTACATCATAGAAACAAAAAAAAGCAGGTAGAATGATGATAAGAATAAAAAAAGGGCACCCCAAAAAAACAGGCGGGGTTTAGCAGCTCTAAAGTGGCATCATATCGGTCAGGTTCAATCTTGCTAAATAGCAGCACTTAAACGGTCAAATGTTGCCTGTTACTTTTCTCCACAATGGTAAGGCTGGATCAATTACAGTCATTTATGATTAAAGGATAAACATTTAATCATTTTATAGAATTGGTTAGGGTGGATTTTTATGTCAGGTGCTAATCATCAGAACTGATATAACTTATAATTCTTAGTGGACACATTTTTTAGTTGACATGCAAACAAAAAAACCTCCCTAGCTTTGAATACGGCTTAATGGAAGATTTGGCTTTCTAAGCTACAGGCTTTCCCCGAGAAGAAGACCAATCCTTGTCCCATAAGAAGCAGTTATTAGCTAGTAACATTAGCTTTCCTGTGGGGTACATAGTCTATATCATACTTCTTTTTATTAAGAATTGCTCACTTGTACAAAAACTTTTTGAACTAGAAGTACTTTTGCTGAGTACTTCTGCAAGAGGTGTGGAAGAAAACAGCTGAGTGCAAATTGGATTACTGTCGAGCGTAAGCAACAGTAAACAAGAGGTACCCACCTGAACTCACCCTTCCTGAGTTTCTGTAAGGCCTCAGAAAAGGCATGTGTATAGTGCACAGGTAAACACAGGTGACCTTCTGACCTTTATATACAAAAACACAGCTACATTATATATTTATAAAACAAATAAGAAACAAACTTATGATAGGATATTTTTTTATTACCTTTCTGGGTCTGTATTGACCCCCAATACAGGTTTGTTCTTATCATACACTTTACTGGCAACTAGTAGCATGGTGCCATCACCTAAAAAATAAACAAGTCTATTAGAATTTACCGAAAGAGAAAATAAGTTCATGAAATTTCTCATGTGTCAACTGGTGCACAGTTAAAACTATCAAGCATAAAAAGGCAAAACCTGAGCTTTACCTCCAGCAGAGATGATGGCATCGGCCCATCGTACTGTGTCCTCATCATACTCTCCTCTTTTGACAATGCGCACCTCAATGCCTTCTTTCCTACAAAAATGAAAGGAGGATGGTTTTGAAAACTGTTTGAAAATTCCTTCAAATACTGTCAGTTTCTATTTCTGATCATCATCTTACTGTAGGCTGTCCACAATCTGTCCAACATTGAAGGTGTGTAAATTGTGTCTCTCCAGAAGCCCAATGTAACTGGATCCTTTCAGTGCAAGCTGTGAAGACAGATTGATTAAATATCATAAACAATGGATTGCTTCTTAACACTGTTTTTTCACATTGTGTATAATGGGGTTAGTTGGTCTTGGACTTTTGCTGCAGGCATTGTTGGTGGGCTTTTAAATACTTAAGCCCAATTTGCTTGCTGCTGAATTGAACTGACAATAGTACCAGCAACAAAAAAAAGGAAGATAAAATATCTGACTCCTTTTATTAAGAAATATACATTTTCCTATAAAACACTGTCAGTTGAATACTGAAAACAGTAGTGAAGTCAACAGTATTAGATAAAATGATAGTTTACAAAGTTAACCCTTCAATACATCCGGATATATAAAGATATAATTTTTTATGAAGATATTTATGTGTTTATCTAATATCCAAATATAAATATCTTAAGTAAATCCAAATATAGATAGAGGGAGGAGTGAAGCAAGAGAAGGTGTGGAGAGAGAGAGAGAGAGAGAAAGACTTCCCAATTATGGGAATTTGCACTCACAATTTATAACAGTTATGTTTACACAGATTACACATTACACAGATTAGAGTGCAACGGTCAGGTTTCACAAAGTAAAATTCCCATTCATTTTCTCCATATGGGAATTAATTTTAATGATAATTTGTAATCCTATAAGGACAGATCTACTGTGAGCTATGAGGTTAATCGATGGTATTTGCTTTTGCTGAAGCCGTCAGCCTGCAATATTTCAACTTATTTTAATAATCACGTTTAACTGTGGAAAAAATACATTACCCATAATTCAGCAAAGAAATCTCCACCATTCAGAAAATCACAACAAGCTAATTGTGCCAAAATAACTCACATGCCCATCCACTCCCATAAAGCATAACAAATGACATATGCTGAATTTGGAAATGCATAAAAGTGTACTACTCTTACTTTTTCTGCCATTGAAAGATATTGTAAAAATAGAAAGAGTAGAATGCTAGTGGGCGGCTCTGAATTCAGCAATCAGTCAGTTTTCATATGCATGACATGACTTAAAATATTTATATGCATATTTTGCAGTATAGTTATAAAATAGTTCAATATTTCTGCATCGTTTTTTATTTAATTACCTATTTGCAATGCTTCATGGGATTACAGTTTGTAATACTCTTTTTTTGTTTTGTTTTTTGCTTCAAATCACCCCGAAGTTGATTGCTTCATGGCTTAAAACTCTTAAATAAATAAATTTTTTATTATTATTATTTTATTTTTTTTGTAAATCCCTATGAGGAAAATGAATGGGAAAAGTAATTCCCAAATCAAGGCTGCTGGAAAAGTGGGTAGGTCACATTTCACTATGCAAATATTACAATGACACCATCGCCAGCGGATAGATTTTGAATGATTTTGCAAGGGTTTTAAAGGAAAGGTTAATACACATTTCTTAAATGTTTATTAAATTTATGACAATAAAAATACATATAGTACCTAAGGCTATTACACTATTAATACTTTTATACACAAAAAGTCTGAAAGAACAATGTGTTAATGCGGAATGTATAGAACTGTGACGTTAATTTGTAGGGCAACCTTATTTGGGTTAGCCTATTTAGCGGGTGTAAATTTCTAAGTAAAAAAATAAATAAATAAAAATTTTTGAATTTTTAAGTGAAGTAAAAAGCCTGTGGTTAACATTACCTTAAGAGACTTTACGTCTATTTTTATACAGCACCCGCCTGGAAAGCATTAACAAGATAAACCGGTGTGTCTGATAAACAGGTGTATTCACCTCATCACAAATGTCTGCTTACCAGCTGTTTAAGGTCCTCCGACGACAGTCCCGCATAGCGATATCTCTGCTGCTCGAATTCATATCGTGTGGTTTTAGTCACAACCGCCACCTTCGCCGGTTTGAAGCCACATTCAGCTTGCGAAGCAACTTTACACACGGCGGTCTGATGAAAACACAGACGACTACAATAGCTCCCAGTGAAACCCGCCACTATTGGATTTCCACAGGAAAGGGGTTTCCTTAAAGCTCGGGATAGCATTCTACTACCGCAAAATAGTATTGGGGAAAATGACCAGAAACCACAAAATGAATTACACAATGAACATTGTCAGTCATTCAGTGCTTGAATCCTGTCCTCATCAGATAGACAGACCACCAGTCTACCACGGGCAATTCATTAAAGGGGCTTTACGGCTTCAATATGCTGCAGGTGCTTGGCAGAGTAAATAAAAGCAATGCAAATTGTACTAAACACACAAGACTGATTTATCTATGGGATTGTAAAGTGTTAAAGTAACCAGCAGTATTCAGTGACTGACAGTTAACCTGCTAACCAAGGCAAAGCACCTAATCTTACTTTCTAAACATATGACCACAGCGGCTATGACTGTGATCTGATTAGCAGGTTGTCACCTGCTGGCTACGTAGTGTCTGAAGCACAGAAGGTCACAATTGCTGAAGGTTTCGTGCACGATGCCCTTTCTAAGTGTACGTGATCAGCTAGCTGATTACAGCTGTCAGTTTTAGCATGACAACCTGGCCACCAACTCTACCTCTCCACGGGTGCGGTGACCGATCACATCCCCGTCTATCTGCCCTCAGACATCTGAACGACGGAGAGCGCAAGTCTAAGCGATCTACGGAAACCTGGCGTTTAGCGTCTGCCGAAATACAGTACTTCAAATCACAAACTTGAGGCTAATAAAAACATCAGATCCCACACTCACACATGCCGCCATCTTTAAAGTACGTAGCGCTGACTCGGTGGGCGTGGCTTTGGATAGAGTTTTTTTGTGCTAGTGTGCCCATTCTGTACTGGCGCACAGAAGTCTAGGCATCTAATACATTTATGGAGAATATCTCAACAATTTACCCTAAGGTTTCCAGATAACAATTAAAATAAATAAATACAATAACTGAAAACCATGATATTGCTGTAACACTGGCTTTTCCATAGTTGATGACACTAAAAAAGTATATAATAAAAAGTTTCATGACATGTAACATGAGTTCTTGACAAGAGTACTCCGTTTATTATAGCAGTTATAATTAATACTGAACTCAAAGTTGTGTAATGTATCCCCTAGTTTTTTATGTACATCATATTATTTTATGTTTATTGTTTAAGCTCAGTAAAAAGTGTAATTGCGTACGAATGAGGTGGGGATTGTGCGTTCAATTAATTGGATCTTCTTGTTGTATCTTCTTCCTTGCTTGAAAGGAATGTTTGAGCTTGAAGTTCAAAGTGTCAAATAATGTAGGCGGACGTAAAGTTCGGGAAGACAATATCTCCTTCTAAAAACTTCTTGATTGTGGAGAAATAGTGGTACCTTGGATAACTGCCCAACAGGATGGACGAGAGTTCTTGCCAACGACAGAGAACTACATTGAAATCTGAAGCAAGATAGTTTATAACCCTACCCTCTTTAAAAACGTCCCTTCTTCCAGTAGCCTGTCGCATTTGACAGTGACTTATAGGATGCGCAAATAATTGCTATTTGTTATACGGGAATTTTATTTAGGGCTCCACTGTGCTTGTGTTGTAAATTTACGTTGCATTCGATTTACTGTTTAATAGACCAATATATTTGTTTATTAAAAATTTATTATTCATATCGATTTTTCAATTAATTCAAAATGTGTCTCCATACATCAGTAGTTTTCAGCAGTTTTCGTCAAGACTAGTGAACAATCACTCAAAAATGTACGTGCACTGAAAGTGCAAAGCGGCCCCTCTTGTTATGCAAATTCAATTTCATTTAACAGACGCTGACGCACAATAACACTACCATTCAGTAGCGCAGAGACACAAACCCAAGCAGAGAAAATTTAATCTAGAACTCATATTTTTTCACGCTCTCGTTACCCATAACTGCAGCGTCACACAGTTGGTCGGGATAGATCAACGGGAGGTATTTCCTTTCACTTGAGAAAGAAAAGCGGACAGCACACGGACAGACAGAGACACCGGCGCGCTTGCTTCTTACGTGACGGCGACCGGCTTCAGTTATTCGGTGAGATATTGAGCTACTTATCCTTTGCTCACAAAGACAACATTTTGGCACGATTACCATACTGTGAAAAGCGATTATGTAAACAAGTTTGTCGGCTAGTGTCACCGTGATGTCCTTTCTGTGGGCTGTGGGACATTTGTGCTACGCGTTATGAATACTTTTTTTGTTTAAAGGCTGAAAACCTGGTGTCTTCAATATTTGTAATCTACTTATTTTCAGGCACATGTTGATTAAGGCATTAGTATGCAATGAGCCTTGCTGTAAATAAAATATCACTGAAAAATACAAATGCTGACCGCGGGAGGCAGCTCTGCCAAAGTTAACGAATAGCAATTATTATTTATATTATAGATTAATTATTTAGTACAATTGCATCATCATTAGTTTTTTTTATTATTATTCTTTCAGGATGAGAGTCATAGCCAAGTGTTGTATAATCAGCCTTGCATATGTAATGAAATTTAATTAAAATTGTACAATTGAAAATTACACTGGCATATAGCTGAAGCAAAGACAACATTACACAGTGACATTTTATAATATTCCACACTGATTATTAGTAACATCATCTCAATGCTTTAAACATAAATTGTGTAAAATTATTAAGGGATGAAAGTAATTATTTTATTTATACATTGACAGAACCCTCATTTATCTCGCTTATGGGCGCAACACAGACCGAGCCAACCCTGAAGTTGGGTAAGCTGGAAATGGCACGCCAGAGGCTGCTACAGCGTTATGAGCACCAGCCCTTTGTCTCCTGTCTAGCTGGACTCTACGGCTGCCAGTGGAGGCGTTACCAGCTCACACATGCTCAGCCTGGACACTGCTGCTGCTCTAAGGTGCTCTCATGGTAACTTATAATGCACATGCTGAGATCATTTAAAAATAAGCTGTTAACTTAAGCAAGTTAACTTGATCAAAGCAAATATGCATTGTCAACAATGACTGGATTGTCATCTTCGAACAAATCTATTGTAATCGATAATGAATTTCGTTTTGGGAATGAATTAAATACCTTTTTTACCAGATTTGAATCAATAGGTACACATGTCAAATGTAATGAAATAATAGATACTGTGGCTCCATCATCATCAGGAAAGTGTTATATCATCATATCATCATCATCACAGTAAGAGGAAATTTTGATGCAAAAAGAGTACTTCACAAAAATTCCTTACTACTGTATGAGGTTTTGTGTCCTTACATGCCCATGTGTAATTATTCTAGTAATATTTAGGTCATGTTGAAAATGCAATGATAGTAAGCCAGATATTTATGCATTATATAATGGCTTAAAAAGGCTTAACTGTCTTTAATCTTGCAGCTGGAGTGTGGCAGTTTTGCTCTGATCGTTCTGACATTTTGTCTCAGTCTGGTGTTCCTGTACTTCTGGAGTGAAGCACAGAATGACTACAATGACTTTGACTGGTTTGTGTCATACATAAAATATACATTTTAGATTTGTTATTAACTTCCATTATTAATTACTGTTAATTTTGTTTAAACAAAGTTGTTTTCCAACCCGAAACATTTCTTTAATAGTTCAATAGACAGAATGACAATGGCACATATACATTTTTTAAAAGATCTCTCAACTTAGGTAACTTAACTGGAATACACTAAAGTAATATTTCTTCTGCTTTGCCTCCAGGTTTAATTTTGGTAATCTGGGCTTCTGGTTTCCATGGTCCATAGTTTTGTTGATTCTTGCTGTTTTTTTGTTCACTTATGTTGCTGTTCTGCTGGTATGTGCTTTAAGAATTGTAATCTTTTTTTTTTTTTACAAAACACAAAACCCCACAGTTAAGAAATCACTATTATAGTTTAATGTTCTCCATTGTGACAGATTAAATGTACTTATTGTATCCTAGTTGTCAAGGTTTTTTTTTTATTTATTTTTTTTATGCATAAAGTCTCCATAGGAAGTTACTAAAAGGTCCATCCGATAATTTGCTGGTAAGAAATATGTTTACATTCACAGCTGCTGGCAGTTTGTCTTCTCTCAGAAGGCCAGAGATTATATTTACACTGGTGTCACAAGGTAATTTCATCCACATCTCGTCTATGTAACAAACTAAAAGAGACTTTATGGTTTATACTTTTGAATTGATGGTATCTCTTTTGATAGATCGGGATCTTAGTGACTTTGATTCTCTCCATTGTGGCCTCATCTGTTCTCACAGATTTATGGAGCAAGGAGTGGATGACTGTACTTTTATCTTTTCAGGCATGTTTACTATCATAATATTAATATTGAAGCACATAACTGTGACATTTAAAGTTCTCCATTCCCATTTGTCAGGTAACTGCTCCATATCTACACATAGGTGGTGTAGTTTTAATGACTCTATTATCTTGGCCAATAGCCTTGCATGTCTTCCGTATCAATATGAGAGGTAAGGATGAGTTTTTAGGTATAATATATTTCCAATATCCAAAAGGAAATATCCTTTTTTTGAACCACCCTGATGCATCTTATGTCACAGAAAGTGCATATTTTTATGGTGAATTCTCTGCCTGTGTCTGTTTCAGTGAGAGGGATGGCCATCATTGTGCTGTACATAACTGTTCTAGTGACTCTGTTCTTGGTTCCTCTGGGCATGTATTCCCCCTGCATTAAAGAGAGGAGCAGTCTGGGATCAGCTCCTGCTTTAATTGGACACAGGGGAGCACCAATGGTACACTTCGCTATTCTTCTTAGGCTTTTCAACCTTTGAATATTAATGTTTTTTTCTATGTTAATATACTTTCTAGTTTAGGCAAGGCGCCCCAGGTGAATAGGGTAAAAAAAAAAAATAGATATTACCATACTTGAATTACAAACATGTTATGTTTAAATATGCAAATTAAGAAATGTATTATTAAATATGCACTAATTTACATACATTTCCAGAACAGAAATCTGAACACTGGAGCCAGGTTCAAAATTCTTGTTTCATTTTGTTGACATGTTAGAGTTAAAGACTTATAAAATAGGGATTTTAGATATCTCCTTTTATCGCTCCATAAATCAGAAAATACTGCCAACAGCTAGAAGAAATTGTATTTTGTTTTAGGAGTAAAGTGTTGTATAAAATCAGGAAAATTATATATTAATATACACAGGAGTAAAACAAAAAATAAAAAAAATAAAAGCCTGGTTTATTTGGGAATTTATGTCTCAATGCATGAAAAAGTCTTGAAGTCTTTAAAGATATGTATTGTAATTAAAATCTACAAATGCAAATAAGTGCAATAAAATAAACACTTTCCACTTATTTCCACTAGTATGAAAAAAAATCACATTATGAAAGGCCAAATAACCCAAAATCTTAAAATTAACCAGTGCATGAAAAACGATGTTTTTGCCTGTAGTGTCTTGGGTTAATGTGATAATTTGACTCCTAGTTCAGTATTTCTCAAACAATTATATCGATACTGTAGCAGTACATAATTGATCAAACATGCAATGTGCCATGTGCAGACTGAAAAAAAGCAACCCCTTTGTTGTATCTTCTCTCAGCTTGCCCCTGAAAACACCTTCATGTCTTTTGAGAAGGCATTGGCTGCTGGAGCTGATGGTCTGGAGACCGATGTAACTATCAGGTCACTTCTTTTACTCCAAAGAAGCTCCAAAGCAAGCCTATTTTATTAATGATGCATCTATATTTGACCAAAAAGTCCTCTATAACATTGTTTTGTCTCTTGCTGCAGTTATGATGGAGTTCCTTTCCTCATGCACGATAAGAACCTACGCAGGACAACTAATGTAAAAGACGTGTTCCCAAACTGGACACACACCTCACCTGCCATGTTTACGTGGAGAGAACTGCAGAGTCTCAATGCTGGATCCTGGTTCTTCTCTGTAAGTCTTCAGGATGCTCTTTTACTCCTGAAAAAATTTGTTGTTATCTTACATTAAACAAAGGGTATTTCAATTATTATTTCCCACTCAGCAAGACCCCTTTGGAACAGCTTCATCTCTGAGCCCAGATGAGCAATTGCAAGCTCAGAATCAGTCTGTATGCACACTGAGGGACTTCCTGGATCTGGCTGCTCAACATGGGAAACTAGTGATCTTTGATCTGTATCGGCCGCCCAGGGGTCACCCTTATAGAGATGCCTGGATATCCCGCACCCTAGACGTCATCCAAAACGACTCATCCATTCACTCCAGTCAGGTGTGCCATTACACTGTTACATTTTGGGGTTTACTCTGATAAATAAAACAATCTAAGGGTCTTTTCCTAAATAAAGTTACTCTCGTGTAGATTGTGGTCTTTATGAAGTTTCTATAAATTATATATTATACATGTCTGTTGTGTTTTTACCTAGGTATTGTGGTTGCCTCCAGAGCTCAGAGAGTTTGTACAAGAAATCGACCCAGAGTTACAGCAGACAACAGCTGAACTAGCACCAGTGGAGGAACTTCAGCTCAGACACATATCCAGACTCAACATCCATTACAGCTCCATGTCAGAGAAAGAAATCAGGTTCTAGTAGATGAGCTAAAATTAAAATTATACATATATGCAATTATGGAATGGAGCGTGGAATAAAATATTCAAATAATTATCTAACTTATTAAATTACTTTGTTTAGAATCATTTATGCATACTGTATAAGCAAGGATGCATTAAATTTATAAAAAATCGATCAAAATTGAAAGTAAATTTATAATGATAAATTAAATTGTTTCAAGTAATATTACTGTTTTTACTGTATTTTTTATCTAAATGCACTCTATATATACAGTCAAACCAAAAATTATTCAGACACCAGATATAATTTTTGATATTTTTTTTACTAGTGGGTGCAGGATACTATAGTTCATTTATGTAAGTGAGGATAGCAAAATAAAGTAAACTGTGACATATTATACCCAAAAATTCTTCATAGAGTGGACTACCAGTAAAATTGATAAAAATTTGGGACCAAAAATTATTCAGACATTTTGACCTGACCATGTTTTGCTTAAGTGTTATCTGACATTATGAAGATGAATTTGTTCTGACACAGTTTCTGAGTTCTTGTCATATTTTATTACCAATTTCTAAACTATAGCGAATAAACTGTGAAAATGTGTGAAATGTTGAAAAATTTAAGGGGGTCTGAATACTTTCCGTACCCACTGTATATACACACACACCTTTGAATATATATATATATATATCATACATTGGGATAAATTGTATGTGACTTTTTATTGATTACAGAAAATACGCTGCTGCTAACATCAGCACCAACCTGTATGTGATCAGCGAGCCGTGGCTGTATTCTCTTGCCTGGTGCGCAGGGGCTCATTCTGCTGCCACTAATGCTGTTCACATCCTCAAGAACCTGCAAAGACCGCTCTTTCTCATGGTAAATGACACACATCTACAGTTCTCAGGGATTTGTCCATCCTGTTTTTTTCCTGTGGTTTTCCTCTGTCTCTCACAGACACCGGATGAGTACAGGTTTATGTGGACTCTTACTGACATCACTTCCCTTATTCTTGTCGTGATTATCTTTGTGTTTCACTGGTGAGTCTAAGCACAGAATTTACCACATCTCACTGTGACAGTGAACATGTAGCTGCAGTCCGAAATCACTCTGTAGTCCATACAAAAGACACTATTGTAGGCTGTTAATGGTGATGTATTTGCAGGTGGAGGGAGCGTGGGTTGGCTCTCAGTGTGGACAGCAGTTCAGTAATTGAGAGTGGGTCCTACAGACAGTTCAGGACAGGTAAGAGGCATTTAATCTTTTAAACCACCTCTTAAGTCAAATGATTGAATTATTATTTGAATAGTTCACTCTAAAATGAAAAATTGCTGTAAATTTACTCACCCTCAAGTCATCCAAGATGTAGATGAGTTTGTTTTTTCATTGGAAAAATGTACATCAAAATACTCGCCAATGGATCCTCTGCAGTGAATGGGTGCCATCAGAGTCCAAACAGCTGATAAAAACATCACAATAATCCACAAGTAATCCACACGACTCCAGTCCATCAATTAAAGTGCCCCTATTATCCCATTTTGAATATTGCCTTTCAGGCAGTGTGTAATGTAAGCTGTATGTGAATGTAAACGATCTGCAAAGTTGCAAAGCCGAAAGTGCACGATAAATAAAGATATTCTCCCAAAAGAAAGAATCGACTCTGAACAGTCTAAACGAGTCATCAGTAATTCGAATCCCATGGCTACATGTCATGGGGAAACACATTTGCATAATGCCCACCTATGTTCTACGTTTACCGGCCGCGCCGCAAACAACTTGACCCACCCTCAAACACTGTACTGTAGCTTGTGTGTGGTTAACATCATGTCGATGCTGTGCAAGTAAATTTGTTTTATTTTCACTTCCAAAAGATGAAGCTGCAAAGAATCAGTGGTTAAAATAAAATGTTTTCCACTGTACCGCAGCAGTACAACCCCAATCTTTTTTTGTGTTCCCGTCATTTGACTGGCAACTGCTTCTCTAATCTCGGGAGTTCAATGCAGGATTCACAAAACTCTTGCTCTTGAAAGATGGCTCAGTTATGATAAATAATAGATGTTTATATTTTCTATCGAGCATTCAAAATACGAAACTATAGCAATGGGCGTATCATTTCTGACACGCGCTGTACGCGGTAGACCAATCACAACAGACTGGGCCATCTGACCAATCAGAGCAGAGTAGGCTCACAGAAAGGAGGGATTTAGAGAGATTGAATCTTAGAATGGCTTCGAACGAATCGTTTGAGAATCGCTGGAAAACAAAGTGATATTAAATGCGTATCTTGAGAAAACGAAAGCGTTTTTGACCTTGCATGCATGTAAACCTATTGTAGGAGACTCCCAAAACAATATTAGGAACCTTAAAAATGGCATAATAGGGCCACTTTAATGTCTTGTGAAGTGAAAAGCTGCGTGTTTGTAAGAAACAACTCCATCATTAAGGCATTTTAACTTTAAACCTTTGCTCCTGACAAAATATGAATCCATAATAGTGCTTCCTACAGTGAAAAAGTCCATCCCCTGTTGTCCTCTCACTTCAAAATCCACTAACATATTTGTTTAGAACTGTTTTCACTTGTAAATGGTGCTTAATCTTTGCATAGTTCTCTCCTCATTCAGAGGAGATGACATTTTATTATGGATTATTAGCCAAAAGCAATGGTTTTAAGTTAAAATTATGGATTTGTGTCTTACAAACACACAGCTTTTCACTTCACAAGATATTAATTGATGGTAGTCGTATGAATTACTTGTCCAGCTGTTTGTACTCTCATTCTGACGGCACCCATTCACTGCAGAGGATCTATTGGTGAGCAAGTGATATAATGCTAAATTGCTCCAAATCAGGATTCTGGATGGGCTGAGGGTGAGTAGATTTTCTTTTTTGGGTGAACTATTCCTTTAATCTGAATCTTCAAGACCATAACGCTGATCATGTTTCACATTCCCATGAACAGAGATGAATGATGTGTGGTCTTTATCCAACATGAGTGCCTCTGACAAGCAAGAACCATCTCTTTGAAGTGCCTGATGAAGTGTTCTGGTTCATATTTAACCCCTTATATAAAAAAATAAAACTGTAACTGATGTTCAGTTAAGCCAGTATAAACCACTGTTTATGTGGTACATTGAAATCACCCTTACAGTTTATAAATTGTAAGTGTTTGATCACTAAATGACAGACAAGCAGGCTGTCTTCATGTGATATGATGGGATACATACAGTTAACAAATGCTTAGTTCTAGTGACTAATCTTGCACCTCATTTGAATTATGGCCTTTTGCAAGCCCCAGGTTTTATCAATGCTACTGTAAAGGTTTCCATTTCAAGCATGAATGGAAATATTTGTCATGTCGATGAAACTGATGTTTCCTTCACTGAAATATTGGTGGATCCATTGGTTTTGTTTAATCTCAAGTGGTATTTAAAATACATGTCATGGTTTTGGCTGAATCATTACTCCTAGACAATAGTGTAAGAATCCAAGAGGTCATAAATCATTTTTATGCTAACATTTGTCCGTTTTGTCTCGTTCTAATTTAATACAGGTCTAATTCAGTATCATATTTAAGCCTCATAAGATCATTCAGTGTAATCACTTTTTGGTTATTGCAATATGTTTAACTCATACTTACAATCTTGTTATTTTTATTACTTGAATAAATCTTGTGTCTGATTAAATTCTGGCAAGAGCATATTGTTTTACACTGAGTTTTGCAAGAAACTACAAAACTTTACACTAACTACAAATTGTGTTGTTATTAAGTAAACCTATTAAAAATATTTTTTGTTAATTGAAATAAAGCAAAATAAAATATAATTATTAGTTGAAAAAACTTAAACTAAAAAATGGGAAATGTTGTCATGGCAACTTACTGAAAATAAGTTGAAGTACTAAAATAAATTAAAACTGAAAAAAAGTTAAATAAAAATATATTAAAAAACAATGACAAAAACACAAAATTACTTAAAAAAAAAAAAAAAATCGAAATATTAATAATATATAAACAATATTAAAATAACACTGATTACAAAATTTGACAGTAATTTATAACTAGACCTATTTTATAAATAAAGGGGTTCATGTCACGCGTGTTGCATTCAAAGGATCTAATTGTCAAGTGATTGATCATATGATCGTAAATCATTGATCAATAAATATAGCACATGTCATGAATCTTATTAAAATAGCCAAGCTATCTCATATGTTATTGTTTTATTTATAAACAGCAGCTTCCAACACAAGAAAATTGGAATGACCAGAATTACGAACTAGCAATACAGTACATACGTTCTAAAAAAAAAAACGAATAAATAAATTGGACAATGTCCAATCTTGTGTATAAATTACAATGATTGTTGTCATATAACCGATCATTTAATTTATAAGACACATTCTAATATGCATCTCTGAAATACCTGGTCAAGCATTTACAAAGGTAATAAAGTAATACTATTCAGAAAAATTAAGAGGATATATTTTTAGACTGAATAAAATTTTGTTATCATTTGGTTAAAATGAATCATCAAATAATTTCATTAAATTAATTAATGTATCAATCAGTTCAATAAGTGCTGACCTAGAGGTCAAATATGACCAGGAGGAGAATCTTGTACGTTTTAAGCTAAGGAGCAAAACCAAATTCTGCAACATTTCCATATCTTTATAATGCATTTAATTGGCAAAATGAGATGTGCAAATCATTCACAAATTAAATAACTGAAATCATGAACTTGATCTGACTTAATAGACTTTCAATTTGGTATCACAGTAAAAACCATACGAGGGCCTAAAACTTAAAGGCAACAAGTGTTTTTGACTGTCAATTTATCATGTTCTTCATTGACATTAAAAGACTGAGAAATGCTATAAAATAAATTAAACTCGCAATTTACAATTAAGGCTCGAGCATGAAAAAGTAACAACACTAATGGCAGATTCAGTTTATCTTCATGTATCAAAATTATGGATCTAGGATGTAGTAAGAACTGAGTCTGTGTGCTTATAAATAAACAGTGCACTATTACAAGCCTTTCATGTTACTTATTATTTACACGTGAACTGCGCTGCTTGGTCATGGTCGTCAACATCTGACTGATGTAAGACGTGAGAAGATCGTCCATCTTGTATCCCTGTGAGTAGTAAGGAAAGTCAGTTGATAAAGTAAGCCACACCGCAAACTGCATGACTTTTAGAAAGGAATAGCTGGTGCATTTGCGTCACCAAAGTACCATGGTATTACCATCTGATACCATCACTGTACCACCACAGTATTTTATGAAAGGGGTGACTCACCAGTGAAGTCTCACACAGCAGTTTGCTGCCTCTAACCAGGTTACCAATGGTAATGTGGAAATAGGTATGTCCACTACTCCAGTTAGAGATTTTGGTGAAGGGATGTGTGCCCAAAATGTCCTGCAGACAGATGAGTAAATGTCATTCAAACAATATTCAAAGGTTTTTACAAAAGGGCCTAATGAGACATTTTTGGAGTTTTTGACTCAAAAGAGGGAGGTGGCCACTTTGCGTTAGTCTTTATTTATGTTACTGCAAGGTAAGTGTAACATCAGCATTTAAATATGAATGCTAAAATGCTAAAATAAAATACACTACCAGTCCAAAGTTTGGGGCCAGTATGATTTTTTTTTTTTTTTTTTTAGTAAAAATATACTTTTATTCAGCAAAGACACATTAAATAAAAAATTGACAGTAAATTGTTACAAAAATAAAAACAATGCTGTACTTTTGAACTTTATATTCATCAAATAATCCTGGAAAATGTATCACAGTTTGCACAAAAACATAATATGTATTAAAACAGAAAACAGTTATTTTAAACAGTTTTTAATAATATTTTACAATATTACCAACCAGCCTTGGAAAGCACAAGAGACTTCTTTCAAAAACAGAAAATCTTACCAACACCCAAACTTCAACAGTAGTGCACATAGTAAAGTTTGTACTTTAGGCTAAAATTACAATATATTAAATCTGCCATTTACATACATTGTTCTGTGTAAACATACCTTTGTTTTTGGGTCAATGAGAGTAACACCATGCTTGTTGATAGCTATCAAGAGGACTTCTGGGAAATTTGGATCTGAGGATTGCTGTGGGACAAAATCAAACATCATTAAACCACACGGTCAGTGCGTTTTACACAACATAAGAAATCAAATTCTAGAATCGAGGACAAGGTCATTTTGTTTGCTCAGTATTTAGTTAATTCAACAAACTTGCCTTGACTTCAAAAAACGCAGATCCAAAAGTAGGCCACTTGTAAATGATTTCCAGAAACATCAGTTTTGCTTCCTCTCGAGATTTCCCTGAATGCTTATTGAAGTACGTAACGACAGGCTGTAGAAGAAACAAAGGCACCCTTCACTGCATTCACTTGTCATAAATGGATGTATGTATGTAGCAGGACTAGTGTTGCTCACTCACCCGTTTCCAGTCGTCGGGCGACAGCTGATGGATCATGTCCTGAGGGACCAGCTCCTTCAGCATCTTGGTGAAGTTATGAAACTGTGATTTGTCCTCTTCAAACCTCACCCTGTAAATGAGCGCAGCCAGCTGGAACGCCTCTTCAAGAGAACACTTGTGGTAGCCCCGCAGATACTTTGGGAGCTCCTAAAGACAGTTTAGTATAATGGAGGTGTCACACAAAGTGTTTAAAAGGGAGCTTGAATTCACAGATTGAGTACAAAGAGAGAGTTTTGCACCTGGAAGTAATGGAAAATGGAGTCAGCCATGGGATCTTTGCCTGGAATGGTGTTGGTCCACAGTTTCTTCATGAAAAACACTTGGTAGGTCAGTGAAGGCACTGTGCCTACAAAACCAACAGAATCATTAAGGCCTCTCATGTCTACACTCAATATATTGATCATTTTAATGAACAATACACATAATCACCATCTTTCACAGCTCTGGCTTTTTTGATCCAGTCTGTCAGATGTCGAACAAAGTCAAAGAAGAAATCTCCTTCTGGCACACTGATCACCTGAAACGTTTAACCCAATATTGACATATCAAATAAGACATCTTACATTAAAATACACACACATACTGACAACTAACTGCTGACTACAGGACATGTGTTTTAAGAAACTCTCAGGAGAAAGCTGTAACATAAAAATCACCTCCTGGGTTATTTAGTGTGTCATAACTTCATACAGAACACCTTCATCTCAACTGAACAGACATTTGACAGCTCTGTAGCCTCACCTTGTCAGAGATTTTGACAAACAAGCTGAAGCCTTCAGAAGATTGGAGCATCATTCTGCCAGTGATGTTCAGACAGAAATCTTTGGCTTTTGTGCTTGATTTAACTTCAAAAGCCTATTCATAAATAAATACATAAATAAAAAGACACTATTAGACGCACAGTGTGTTATGTGGGGAGTTCATTTTTAGCATGTATACAAACAGTAGGGGGCAAAAAGCCTGAGACTACTTGTGTAAATCAGGTAAAACAACGTTTTCTTTACTTGAACCAAAATTAACCTTACTGAAATAAATTAAAATATAAAAAGCTTTAACTTATTTTATTTCAGGTAGTTGCAAAGGCAGCATTTCCCATTTTTAGTTTAGTACTAGTACTAAAATATATAAAATATTAAAATATAATAATTAATATAAAAATAATAAAGTACTAAAATAATAAAAACTAAATAAACAAAAATTAATAAATACAAATTAATTACAATATAGGCATATTAAAACAAAACTTTAAAAAATAAAATTACTAAAACAAACAAAAATTAAAGTAAAAACAGAACATTTAAAAATAAAATCTAATTCAATATATTAACAAAACTATCGTTGATACTAAAATAAACCTGGTGTAAATGCTTCTAATGCACATTATATTGCCATAACAATTTAACGATTTGAATTAAACATAAACAAATGATCTACCGGTATTTATATATACTTTTTCTTTTTTATATCATAGACATGATCGAAAGAAATTCTGGAAAATATATATATATACAGTATAACTATATATAATATTAAATAATTTCTCTCTCTCTCTCTCTCTCTCTCTCTATATATATATATATATAATGTAATTTTAATATTTTAATATAATATAGATCGCATCCAAAATAAATGTTTGTGTTGTTTACATAATATATGTGTGTGTACTGTTTATATGTATATATAAAATACACACACGTGTATATATATGTTATATAGTAAACAATTAAAATTTTTTATACTTTCAGAATATTACAATTTAATGTTATTATCTAAAATTCACAGATTTCTATATACATATGTATTTGGTGTTTGTAACTAAAAAAAAATGCAGGCCAGATTTCAGCTATATTTAAAACAAAAAGGAAATGAATCTCTGGAGTCTTGAGTCTATTCACACTTCATCTCTTTTCTGCCGTTTTCTCCAGAAGCACCACATAACTCTGTGCTTAATTGAGGATTCAAATGAGGTCAGAGCACAACGGGGCGTTCTCTCGGTTTCCTCAAGCATAAATAAACACAGCCGGGCATGAGAGAGAAAGAGAATATCACCCCCACAGGAGGCTGGATACAACGTACACTACAAGTAACAGACGCTCGCCTAGAGTTAACATGAAAACTCTCACCTCATCAGTGTCATCAGGGAAGTACACTTTGTGAAAGATCTGGGTCGTTTTGTGTTGAATGGCCTCCACTTCTA